CAATGTTGTCCATAGCTTGTCATGATCCATACAATCAAAAGCCTTTGCGTAGTCAATAAAGCACAGGTAAACATCTTTCTGATATTGTCTGCTTTCAGCCAAGATACATGGGACAACAGCAATGATAGTCCTCATTCCATGTCCTCTTCTGAAGCCAGCTTGAAGCTCTGGAAGTTCTTTGTCAATGTATGATTGTAGCCATTTCTGTATTACCTTCAGTAAAACTACTGGCATGGAATATCAAAGATATTGTCCGATGATTTCTGCATTCTGTCGGGTCACCTCTCTTTGAAATGGGCACAAATATGGATAACTTCCATTCAGTTGGCCAGATAGTTGTCTTCCAAATTTCTTAGCATAGATGAGTGAGTTCCTCCTGTGCCAACTCACTTTCTTGAAAGATTACAATTTTTATTCCATTAATTCCTGATGCCTTTTTCTTCACCAATTCCTTCAATGCACCTTGGACTTCTTCCTGTAGTATCATTGACTCTTGATCATATGCTACCTCTTGAAACAGTTTAACAACAACCATTTCCTTTTGGTACAGTGACTCTGTGTATTCCTTCCATCTTCTTTTCATGCTTTCTTCATCATTCAATAATATGCCAAGAGAATCCTTCAATAATGGAAGTCGAGGCTTTAATTTTTTCTTCAGTTCCCCCAGCTTGAGAAATGCTAAGCATATTCTTCCCTTTTGGTTTTCTGACTCCAGATATTTGCACATTTCATTGTATTATTTGACTTTGTCTTCTTGAGCTGACCTTTGAAATTTCCTGTTCAGCTCTTGTACTGCCTCATTTCTTCCATTTGCTTTAGCATCTCTACACTGTTTCAATGTCTCCTCTGACATCCATTTTGATCTTTTCCTTTTCTCTTGTCCTCTTAATGACTTTTTGCCTTCTTTCTGTATGATGTTCTTGATGTCATCCCACAATTCTTCTGGTCTTTGGTCTTTTTGTTATTATTAAGTGTCGTTGAGTCAATTCTGACCCATAGCCACTCTGTACAAGGTTTCTGAGGAGTAGCTGGTGAGCTTGAACCACCGACCTTGCAGTTCAAACAGCTTTGTAGTCTGGCATATTCACCCACAGCACCACACCAGGACTCCTCGGTCTTTCGATGATCTCTAAATTCAGGTGGGATATAGTCAAGGTCACAGTTGGGTTCTTGTGGACTTGTTTTCATTTTCTTCAGCTTCAGTTTGAATTTGCATATGAGTAATTGATGGTCTGTTACTCAGTCTGCCCCTGGCCTTGTTTTCACGAATGATATGGAGCTTTTCCATCATCTCTTTCCGCAGATGTAGTCAACTTGATTTCTGTGTATTCCTTCTGGTGAGATTCATGTGTATAATCGTCTCTTACGCTGTCTAAAGAAGGTATTTGAAATGAACAAATCATTGAGTTTTTAGAATTCTATCATGTGATCTCCAGCCTCATTTCTATCACCAAGGCTATATTTTCCAACTACTGATCCTTCCTCTTTGTTCCCAACCTTTGCATTCCAATCACCAGTAACGAACAATACATCTTGATTGCATGTTTGATCAATTTCAGATTGAAGAAATTGGTAGAATTCTTCTATTTCATCCTCGCTGGCTTTAGTGATTGGTGCATAAATTTGAATAATAGTGGTATTAATTTGTTTTCCCTGTAGGCAC